CATACAGATGGACTTTAATGACGCCAAATGGAAGGTTTAGTGCCTGGCTGTTAGCGCGCTGCGTCTCTTTGTAACACCAATATATTAAACGAGTGCTGTTAAAGACTGCAGGCTCCTCTCAGTGACAGTTTGCCTCGGGCTCACACTGTTTGTAACTTACGGCTAAAAGTACAAAATTCATCCCTGCGCTGAAGAGGAGGGGGAGGAAGCAGAGGGGGCTTTGCTATATTGGCTGCTATAACACCAATAAAAAGATATGTGGGTTGGATGACACAATTGTAGTAGGACTGCTTCGAGCCCGGGAGCGAAATGCAACGTGTTTAGCATTGGGTTGTCTGTGAAAGAGAAAGAGAGGCAGGGAGTTAGAGAGACGGAGAGAAACAGAGAGAGTGATCGAGAGGGAGAGAGAGAGGCATCTTTGTCCTCTGCTTTCTTTTGATTATGAAGGCTGAGACAGTTTAAGTTTCTGCATGCTTGATTAGTTACAGAGATAGAACGACTGTGTGTGTAGTAGAAAGAGCAATATCTCATACATCTTATCATGTTTTATTCACAGTTGCGTATGTAGTAGGATAACACTTATATATTATGCTTTCACCCATGTAATAATGATATATGCTGATCTAAAACATATACCCATAGTTTGATTCATGTTCTGTTCTGATGTTTTGTACAGACAAGTGTCAGGCCAACCCGCAAACCTATGTACAAAGCTTGTTATAAGGCCATCAGCGCTGGTGAATGTAAACTCAAATCCTTCGAGTATCAGTTCCAGTTCTGGGATATAGACTGGGAATAGACTTTTACCTTTGGAAGGGCATCTGACATATTATCACCTAATAATAAAATCATATGCTGTGATTTTTAGCGAGCAAATGTAAGTTTATTTGACAAATGTCTAAATGCTCACGTGTTGAGTTTGACTTCCTGCCTTTCCCTCACCGTTGCAGTCTTTTCGCACACTAACACAAAACGCCCACAGCTGCGTCAGGCCATCTCCCCTACAATCCAATCTGTTTTCTTTCCCATGATGCTCCCCATTGGCACAGGGAGGAGAAAATCAGATTTACTCCCCCACAGGGCCCATGCAATTGCACTGATATGGAAAATTATTTCAGTGCTGCTTGAGCCCATAAACATTATTTTGGTCTCCCCTGTTAATGACACATTGCTTTCCCAGCATTGTGGATTGCACAGAGGAAGACGTGAGTGAGACTGGCTGAAATATCTGGGAGGAACGGGGGTGGTATCCTCCAGGGGACATATACTCACCCCTCAAACTTATTTCAGTAAAACCCAATTGTAAAATATGGGACTTTCTGAAACCTGAGACGATCTTGGGGTGTCATGAACCATTTCTCAAAATCTTTTACAAATAATATTTTATTGTTTATTTTTGCTGATTTGTGTTGAGAAAATAATGTCCAAACAACATTTCTTTCGTTTGGTGTGACCTGCTGACAGTTTGTATGATTTTAAAGTGGCTATATTATGCTATTTCTAATCTCTGTTATAATGTTGTTTCCTCATCAAACATGTGGAGTTGTTTTTTGTTTCATTCACACATGTTTAACACACACTGTCAAACAGAAAACACTTTGTTCCACCTTGTAATACCTTCATTAGAATCATTTGGATGATTTCAGACCTGGAATTGCCAATTTCTACTCAACTAAAGATAAAATGTAGCCATTAACTAATACTAACACTTCATGACATCACAAGTTGGAACAGAGCAGTCTGAGCTTTGGAGATATAGACAGACAAATAATCAAGGGTTACTCAAACATGTGTAAATGAAATAAAGCAAAACTCCAGATATGTTTTTCATGATGCAACATTATAACATGACTTAAATCTCACAAGAATCAATTTTGTGCAATATAGGACCATTAAATTAGCTTTTTTCCCCGCATTTTTGTATTGTTTTTCCCAGCATTTGGTCTTGGTCTTACACCCAAGTAGATGAGATGGATGATCCCCACTATGGTAATCACTATTTCACGGCTGTAGGATTAAAGAGGCGTGCGATGGCCCTGAAACGCACTTGTATCAATGGGTCAGTTAACAAGCAGCAAACTTTGGACAGATAACAAATGGCTCTCCTTGAAAACACTATGACCATGCTGTATACAGGGAACCGTTGCTGCCCGCCCCGAATATAAGCTCTCAACAAAATGTCATCGCATTTATTGGCCATTCCTTAAGATGCACTAAAGTTTTATGTGGACCTCAGGATACCACACTGGAATTGCTTTGCAGTGCAGGGAGTGAATTTAATAAAGTAAAATGCTGATGAAAATAACAAGACAGTGCTTGTGGAGAAAACATTGGGTAATGAGAGACAACAACAGCACTGACAGGGGAGTAATGTGTATTTCCTGTTACATCATAAATAGTTAGCTTCAGCGAACAGATGAAATAGCCAAAATGGGTGTTGTAACATTGTGTCTTGTTTTATTGAATGTGAAGTTTGGATGTGTGGGTTGAAGGTAATGGACTGTGAATATGACAACGCCCTGGTCCCGCTGCTAATTTTGTATCATCCTCCAATTGTGGCCCAATCTGAAATATGTTCTGCTAAAAGTGACTCAACATGGTTTCCAGTAATATTGTTTTAGCAATCCCAAATATGGAGATGACATTGAGAAATACACCATCACATTCAGTAAATTAGCTTTGCTTTACTTTGCCATGCTTAGATTAGCAAAAATTTACTTTTTAGGAGTAAACTTGCATCACAACTCTAAATGCCATTGTTTGCCATGCTGCAGTTGTCTGATCCAAAATACGCACTTCACCAATGAAATATATGCCGTAACTGTGTAATCTGCTTGAGTGTAGATGGGTGTGATTGACAGGTGAATTAGCCAATCAGGGGCATGCATGGTCTGTGTGTATCGAAATGTGGCTCCTTAGAGGAAAAAAGAAAGGAAAAAATATCACATCACAAGGGACTGAAAAACATTGCAGATTTCAGCTGAATTAATCAGCAAAGCCAAAATTTTTATTTGGCTCAAAATGATAGATGGCCACTGAACTCTTTTGTTTCACATGTGTCACAGAAATAAACACATCTGATTGCACCAGAGCCTGCTTGAGGCGCGACAGAGGGTGCGGTGACCAGACTGATACCCCTCTGTATAGTACATATACAGAGATATCATTCTGGACTTGCCAAGCAAATAGTGCTGCAAATGCCATGTACACAATAGTTCTTTTAGTTGGGTGTAAGGGCGTTCTGATGTGATCTCTGACTTGCCACCATTTTTATCTATGAATAGACTTTGCGTTTCCTCCTTATGTTACAATGGGTTCTTTCTGGGTGCTCTAACTACATCACCCATAAAGTTCTCCATCATAAGTGGCCATTGTGGAGTGTGTATCCCACTTCTCTAGTCCGTAGTCGCTGAACCTACCCTCAACATTGTACAACTGCCTGTAGTCTCACCCCTGGCTTTTGTACTGAGTGATCTTTGTTGTTTACACTTCACCTCTTCAGTTTAACCTTAGCTTATCCTTTGGGAAACCCCTTCACCTTCTGCCAACTTATACTGTGACCACATATCTTATTGTCTCAAACAGGACAATAGTGGTTCCACTTGGCTGTGTTGATGTCTGTTTGTCCAGTGCCCAACACAGGATATGTTTCAGTTATGCTAAATCATTTTTGCTATTTTGGGTTGAAAGATGTGCCAGGAATAATGCCCAAACTGTTCCTTAACAATGGATACTAATACTGATTCATCACATGTGGGCTAGTTATCTATAGGCAATCTGCCAAGTCAAACCAGTTGGACTAATATGTTTTGAATTATCCCACTCTTATCCCAATCATGTTAACTTGTGTCTTTTTAACATCAGGGTGCTTTTTTGGAATACACATTGGGAATTTCCAAAGTTGGCAATGTGTTTTCTCCAAGCTATTCTAAACAGGTGGCAACACATGATAAATTCACTCTTATTCTAAGCACACCTCAAATGGCCTATATTTTCATGTTAATCCCTGCCTAAAGGTACATTGTGTAACTTTTCTGCTGAAGGATCCATTAAATGCTTTTCTTCATGGAGATATTATTGCTTTGTTTGGAATGTTTCACCAAATGTTACACCAAACCAGACCAAGTTACAGGTCAGGTCTGTGGAGAGGCAGCCCCACTCATGGTCAGAATGTCTGTTTTTCTAATCTGTTTTTGATCTATAAAACTACCTGTAATTTGATAAATGTAAGGCAGAGCTGTTTAATGCCCTACTTTGGAACATTTCAGGCAGAGCAATGACATATCCATAGGAACAAGCAGGTGATGGACGCCCAACTAAAAAGTTACATAGTGCACTTTTAAACTATGGGTTGAGAGCGTCAGACTCATTTTAATTGATTAAAAATAATATCACAATGCCTAATACTTGTATGTGTGAAAAGTTATGCAACCTACATGCTCCAACTCACTCCTACACCCTTGGCAAAGTTCCCTGTGCCCAAATCTACATACAAAGTCATTCTTTTAAACTGTATCCCTCCTCTGTATGTTAAAGGCCATCTCCCTGACTCCTCTATCCTTCTTTCCCAGCTCCTACACTTGCCCCCACGCTATCCAAACGTACCAAAACACCACAAGAATACACTGCGGAGGGAGTGCTGGAGGCGTGCTCACACCCCCAACCTCACTCCAGCACTGGGCCCGAATCCAGCCCCTCCTGCTTGCCATATACTCCGATTTTACTCCTGTTGAGACCTATACCGATTCCATACCATCTAACCACCCACCAACCCAAAGTGATTGAAAAAAAGTTAGCAAAGCAAGCAAACACAATAAAAAGCGCTATTTTAAAAAGTGAGGAATCTGGCTACTGGTGGCGCTAATGTTTTCAAGATGACTTTAGCTCCTTAAAGGAAATTCCCCCAGTTTAGTAGCCATTTGAAATTCCTTTTGTGTTTTATTGTAAAGGAAGTAGGCGCTGGGTTAGTCAGTGTGTGCAGTCTGTCTGGGAGTGGAGCTGTGCACAGATGCTCACTGCTGTTTCTTCATGGACAAAGTTACTGGATGTTTTTATTATGGTTTTGTTTGTGACGTGTGGACTGTTAAAGGGATTTGGATTTAAGTACAGATTTGACTCTTCACCATCATGTTTATTATAGGTAAGTAACGTAAGATTAATCTTTTAGTTACACTACTTATGGGGTCAAACAAGATCATGTCCTGATATGTTTAGCTTTTTTAAAATTTTGAGACAATTGTTATTTTAATGTATTGGGCACATTTATTTATTATTACATATATCACACTACCTGGTCAGAAATGTAACTTTAACTTTTTTTTATTATACAAATTAAGTAAGATTTGTCATAAATAAAAATACCCCAAAAAATCTACATGGGCTAAAGTAATACGAATTTTATCAGCAAATTTGAAACAGAACTAGAAAACAGGAAGAGATCAACATTATTGGCAAAAGTGATTGTGGGTGTGTCTGGTAGAGCTGGATTCTGGCTAGCACATGTGTCTGACCGCTGTGGTGATGGGCGGCTTTATAAACTCTGCGTGCTTGTGTTTTCTGTCATTTCATGTTCTCTGCTCGTCTCTGATTACTGATCTGTGGAGAGCAGGTTGATTCAGTCACACCTGCAGTTTTCTCTTTGTCTCTCTCCCTTCTGTCACAGTCTCTCAGTTTGTGTGTGCCCTTGTCTGGACGACCCTCCCTTCAGGCAGATAAGACACCGTGCAGGCTCATTTCTCTACAGTCCACAGTGAAATACATTGAAATAATGGTATTCTGGCTATGTCTTGGCTAGAATGGTTAAACTTGACAAGAACCATTAGACACCATATATATTCAAATCTGCTATCGGCAATGAAACGGCAGTGGATTGAACACAACACCAGACCTCCTGTTATGCTGCACTGAGACTTTTATTTGAAACATTTACCATTACTGTATTTTAACTCCTCGATGTGCTTAAATTGGCCCTTGTGGATAAATAAAGCTATATTGAATTGAATGAAATAAGGTTACTGTGGGCATGGCCTCAAACCCTAGAGCGTCCTGTTGTCTTCATTTTGTCTCCTCATATATTTTTAAAATCTTTCATAAAAACCCTGCAAGCTGCAAGTTTACAGGTCATTGTATTAAATGTTTACTTATTGTCAGATGTGTCCATACCCCATATTTACAGTGCGCACGTGGATACTACAACAGTGTTTTGCATGTTCGGCAAGGTTTCTTCTCTCTGCAAGAACATATTTACATCCTATTACACATTCATTAAAACAGTTAAGACTTGCTGAGCCCTGGCTTTCAGTAATGGATGCTAATGGAAGATTATTACAGGCCAAAATATTCTGATATTCTTGTTGGTAAAGATACTCAGGTTTGAGAGGGTGCTATCAGAGAACATTACACTTACCAGTGCATCTGCCCACTGCTGTTGTAATGGCCAGCATTCAGCTCCTTTTGCCTGGAGCGCTGTTTCTCATTGGTTCCCATGACAACCAGGCCTCCTCTCGCTCTGCTCCTCCTCCAGCCTTCTGCTCACTATGGACCATCCATATAGCTGGTCTATCTTCATCGCTTTCTCTGGGATTTTGTACATATACATTTGTTGACGCAAACCAGACTTTTCACCCTTAACGCCCACACAACTGCAGAACAATGTAATTTCAACTAAGACTCAGAGAAATAAGTTAAATTTTTGTACATTTTAACCTGTACTTATTATATTATCTGCATGTTGACTGTAGATGTTAATAATTAATCATCTTAATAATCACTTAATTTTTCTTGCAGGGATGTCAGGGAATGACACTGGTTAGATTGCACATACCAGATTTTCCTTAAAAGGTCCTACAAGTGAACTACTGGCACCACTTAGGAAACAAAGGAGTACAATAAAGTACAAGTTTAAAACAAACCAAGGAGACACAACTTTTGCACTGGGCCGATTTAGCATTGGCAGGCACTATGCATCACTGTCACCTTTTTAATGGCAGCTAAACAAACATGTACCGTAAAGCAGCAGACCTTTACTCCACTTATATATCCCTGGTTTTATTTGGAGCTATAAGGCAGAACCAATGCTACTTAACCTGTCCTGCCAACACCACCAGTCTATTAGCTTTCTTCCTATAGGGTCACAGAGGACAGGCTACATTCACAGATATGTTGCATCTATTAAAGGGCCCATGTTAGGCTATATTCTGATCTATGTTATAATGCTGTTTTCTCATCAAAAACATTCACACATTTTGAACACACTAACATTGCATATTTAGACTCAGTTCTTCCCTCAAACAGAAAACATGATCTTATACTTTGTGATGTCAGGTGGTAATAAAGGAAGTGCTCAGAATCATTTGGATAATTTCAGCCCTAGAATTGCCAATCTCTGCTAAACAAAATGTAAAAAGGTAGCTGATTACTTGAAAAAATAAAACTACATAACATCACAGGGTGGAAGAGAGCATTTTGAGCTTTGGAGTTGTCTAGACTAATAATAAAGGATCACAAACATGTGTGAATGAAACTCTCTAGGTATGTTTTTGATGAGGTAAAAGCATTATTATTTCTTTTAAAAAAAAGTCAATTTTGTGTAATATAACCCCTTTAACTATATTTCTTATATTTCAGTGGTGATATGTCTCTAGGTTGGATTTGAATATTTGTATAGCATGTTAAGTATAGCAAGAAAATGTGTGAAGTGTCCCTATAGCTATCACATATCTTCTTGCAACACTTTCTCCTGGCCGCTCCACAGGGTTTACCACCTAAAAATATCGATATATACAGTCCATCTTTACATGTTAATTACCATTCTTGATGCAGTTTTCTCTTTTTATTCAAGATGGAACACTTTGTAGCTTGACATTTGGCTCCTGATCCGCGAATTGAACTTTCGTACCATGTGTCTTCTTAGGGTTAAATAGTGATATTAAATTCAAACTGTAGTATTATGGTAAATGTTCCATAATAATTCGTTTATGTTTTGTTTTTAGAATTTGGACTGTAGTGGACTGAAAGTACTTTTTAAACCTTTATTTTATAATGAAAATATTGCCATGTTGCCAGACCAGACCTTTGAACAACACTAATACTAAGCCTATTTTTCCTGGAAAGACACCCTCCTGGTTCTTTTGGGTACCAGGCTAATTAGAAACCAAACCATATAAAGCTTTCAAACATATTACTACTTATAACAGCTTGTCATCAAAAATATGCTTTTTGCTTTCAGTGGAATTTTAATCTATCACATTTTTTCTACAGCTACAAAGTTCCAATAGGAAAGACACACCTTGTTTTGGGTGACAGGCTGACAGCATGTGATAGAGTGGTCAATGGGACACTTTTAATTTGTAGCTTTGACCTCGAGGTCATATCCATACTGGTAATTCTGTTCCAGGCTCTTCTTTTATGAGTTCAGGCAAGCCCTTCTTAGGATATGGTTTCAAATCCCTCTCCCCTTTCACTATCCACTACTTAAAACCTGACGTTGACATGTGCGGTGTTATGTATTGCCTCGTCCTTCGTGTGGACTTCATTCATTGTCGTGGCTGTCTGTTATAGTAATGCATAAGATGAGCAGATTCATTCATCATTCATTCATTCAAGATTTAGATCTAAACTAAAATGTAAAGGTGGTGTAATTGCTTTGCCTTGAATGTTATACAGTATGAAAATAAACTCGGCTATCGCAATGGAGACAGGTTATTGCTCAGATCATAGTGCACATAGTAAAAATGAATGTTTTTCAAAGTATTTTTGACTATACAAAAAACTGTAATTGAATACATGCCAGGCAGGTAAGTGTAATGCCATACTGTGGATCTGTGCAAAGAAATAAACCTCCATGGAGACAAGAGAGTAGCTGGGCCTCCACCTTAGTTAGTTAGCAAGTTACACAGTGCACATTTCACCTAATAAAATTGAATAGGACATATTGATGGTACTGACAAAGGACCATATATTGTACCTTGCCAACGAAGCAGCTATTTTCAGTTTTGTTTATCATTTTAATGCTTACATTTTGTCACCTCTAACATAACTTTCTAACAGGAATATAAGTGTTGCACAGCTCAGCCCCTCACACTCTAGCCTTATTATGCGTGGCCAATAGAGGGTTATGTGTAAACTGACAGACGCTTGGCTGGCTTCATGGTCCTGGGTTTTAGGAGGGATTGTTGGGGGCTTGTTTGCACCTGTTTGGGGGCTCTGCTACATGGAAGGTGCTACCTGTGTGCATGTGTGAGTATTAGATGCATGTGTGTACTTAATATTGCACGGCCCTGTGCTCTGGTCTAACTTGTCAGAGCAGCTGATGGTTCTATCCCAGAGGGGGTGCATTCTTCCTGGCTGACTGATTAAGACTTCCACAGACTTGTTCCCACTCCCCCTTGTTTCTCAGCATTCGCACCACGCACTTTTACATTTATGTGCACGGTGCGGTTCATACATAAACATGATGCTTGAATTCAGCAGCGAAGAAATTGAATGTATTCGAGCCAGACTCGAGGACTGAGCAATTTTGTGAAAATATCTAATTGCACCTTTGCTGAAAAACACCGATGCAACTGCGATTAGATTTGTGATTTATGATTCAGCATTAGAATTCTATTCAAGGTGTTCATTCTAAACTCGTCCACTAGCATCATCAGAGCAGACAAATATGAACTGATCAACTAATATGGAATCATTATGCATTTCAGAATTAGTCTGTAGAGGTCAAAACTCTTGCAACTTTATCAAATGCCCTGTGTTCACTGATTGGGGCAGTTGGGTTTCTAACTGTTTCTTTGCTTTTTAAGAACATTACATTGACATACATTCATTTTCTGATTCCTAACCTTGACTATAGTTACTACTAACCTTCACCTAAACCCTAATCTTAACCTACTTTATCCTATATTTGAAATTTAATCCATGTTGTTGATCTAATAATGAAAGACTTACGTCATGGGGACCTGTTTTCTGTCCCCATAAGGCAGGCCCCCATGATGTGAGTGTGTACAGAGATTTTATTCCCCACAATGTCATTTAAAAAAATCATACCAAAGACAAAAAATAATGAATTAAGTCCTGTTATTTTTAAGGGATGCAAAGTCCAAATTCAAGAGACAATGCAATTTGGTAATGACACAAAAATAGTTGTGTAATGAAATGAATCAGAGCAGTTAAAGAAATTGAGGGCATGAAGAGTGAGAGATGGCTTGAGTGAGATAATGGAGAGAGAGAAAATACTCACTGGGGATTGTGGGTAAAAAAGTGTGTGAGAGCGACAGGGAGAGAGCCTGAGAAAGTGTGTACTCAGCTGTGAGATGAGACCTCTGCCTGCCGCCCGTGGGGAGGGGTGTATGTGTGTGCGGGAGAGATATTTATCCATTTACACCTAAACTAGAAGAGTTGGGTTTTGGACCTACACTTTAAAACTGTTCAGTACAACCTTTCTGTGCTATATTCTCTCATATTAGTAAGAATAAGCAGAATAGGAAAATTGTATATTACAGATTATAGCTGTTTCAGTGTTTTGCTGGTGATGTGCCGATTTAGGGCATTGTACATGTTTTTCTACTTGTGCATCATGAGTTTGCTTTCTGGCCTTGCCTGTTTGTTGAATGTCTCTATCCCCTCTTCTGTCATGTCAAATAAAGAGGAAAAACTGAAAAAATATACATATTTTAGTGTTTATTTTTTGAGACCGTATATGACACGTGAATATGATCGTAATATTCGGCTAGCTGCTTAACACATTTTTGTTTATGATCAAGGAAAATCATTTAGTTGTTTCTCATCATGTCTTGAAAACATTTTTGGAATCCAAAGTCAAGATTGATTAATATGGGAAAATAAATTGATCATTCCTTTTGCCATATCACCCATATTATTCTACTAACCGTATATTTTATCTTTGTTGTGAATGCAGGCAGTGGACTGATGGGCAACTCCTCAGCCTCCTTCATGGGGACCTTTCTGGCCAGTAGTTTGGGCTCTCCGCCGTCCCATCCACCTCACCCGTCCCGGCCGCCCTCCTCGCCCTCTTCACCCTCCTTCAGGGGTGGACCTCACTCCAGCGCCTCGCAAATTTGGTTTCCTCATTCACACGAAGGTATCTCAAATCACACACAAATATGAGCCCAAAAATATCCTGCCCCTTCTGTGACCTCTTTGTCGTTGAATGGTTACTTTACCATGCAGCAGGGTTTTTTTTTGTATGGAGAAGGTCAAGAGTTGAAACAAGGAATCTAGCGGTATTTCATGCATGCTAGGGGAATGTCAGTCAGGGATTTCTGGAGTCACTCTTAACGCACAAGGCCAGTAAAATGTTACAGTTACAGACCATTCAGCGGATCTATCCATGACAGTTTAAAGCTGCATTACCTGATTTTCAAACCGCAAAAGGAGGAAATATGTTTTGAAAAACCCTTCTGTAAAAGACTGAAGAACATTGAGCAGGAAGGACAAGTTAATTTAAAGTAATTGGATGTTATGAAAATGTGCTTCCTTTTTTGTTAATGTTTGTGTGTTATGTTGCTATATAGACAGACATAAACAGTCTAGAACTATAACATTGTGTGACGGAAATCCCTATTGAATGGGTCAGTAAATCAAAATACTTAAAATCTATTGCAATTTACATTTTGTTCATATTAAATAGCAATAGTGATCTAAAATAACAAAAACAGGGCCACTGATTTGCGGTTCAAAATTGCAGAACTGATTCTCGCCTGACCCTTTACGCTACATTGCTCTAAACGCCATCACAACAACCCAGCCCTGCCTATGGATAGCTACAGCTCACAGTAGCAAGCAAGCAGATTAATAAAAGTGTTATAAAGGCTAAACAATGTCAGAGAATCCTACCTGTGTTACCTAAAAAAAAAAAGAAGAGCGAAGTTCAGAGCACTGGGCGTGTATGGGGGGAAACAGGAATTTACTCAAACTTGCATGAATAACTGAAAATACAACATCGAATGAATTAATGATGAGGGCAAATCATTATAACATGTAATGGAAGCTCATAAAAATCAATTTAGCATAATGATGCCTTTAAAATTACATTAATTATTTGTCATATTCTCAAAAAAAGTATATTATTAAACAAAACATTTTGTCATATTATTAGTATGAAATTGCAATTGAGTTGTTTTTTCTTGTTCCTGTGACCAGGTGTTCTTCTACAGAGGAGCCCAGTGGGGAGTGTTTGTTATTTGTGGTCAGTGAACTGAGCTGCTCCAGTTGCTTGATGTGTCTCGCTATAAGGCGGCCATTACTGTGTGTTGTTGGATTGGATTGTTATACCACTACATGCCCTACAGTCACACCAAACTATTTCCTCTTTTTCCTTTGTCTCTATTGTCTGTGACTGCTACAATGATATGAGATGAAATTCTAAATAATATCTATAGACAAAGGAAGTAGGAATGCCTTTGATAACAACCCAAACTCATTTCACAAGCTTTGTCTCTTTGACTCTATAGTTTTAAGGTGTCATTGTCAAGGTTTTCCTCTTGTTGCAGAGTAGAATAATATTAATAAGAGTGATGATGATAAAGCCAGGCCTAATAAAAGTAATGGAGGTGATTATGACTGGGATTATTACTTGCTTGGCAATGGAGGCCATTATCTCTATTGCAGTTTAATTGCATATAACACACTAAGAGCATGATTGAATCCAGACTGTTCATCAGCCACATTCAGCTGTTCCCTGCTCAAGATAATTGCATATTGTCTTTTTCCTGTTTTGCATAAAAAGCAAGTCATCAGAATGAGCGGCACAATTACGCAGCCTCTCGCCTCCTCTCTCCGGGTGTCAGCAGAACCCCACCAGCAGCAGCGCCACTGGCTCCTCAGCTCAAACACTCCTTCTCTACGAGTGATTGGAAAGTGGCTGCTTACATGCAAATGCAAGATGGATTTTGTATTCAAAGATTGTTATTAAATCTTGGGCGCCTGGTACCTACCTGTCTAAAACAACAGTATCTTTGTATTAGAAGCATTGCTAGTGATTAAAGGGCTAATTAAAGACATGCATATCTACAGGACAAGTTGCAATAGCCACTTTTCACAGAAGACGTGTGCAGCAACACTTCAGAGAAACAAAACAAGTGGGGGTGGCAGGATGAAGATTTGGACGCAGGAAAAAAACAAGGACAGATGTAGACCATTTTAATGAATTTGAACTTGTTTTACTAAGCACTTGGATAGGGCATACTCAATTTAACAATGTATTCCAACAAATCACAATAGAAAATTAGATGAACAAACTGCATATTAAAAAGCTTGCAGTTTGCTTGTAGGCCTTAGACCAGCTGGCATGAGTTCAAATTGACTTCTTACTTTACTCTTAGACCAATCATAGCCATATCTGTGCCCAAACACTCACACACACACATTGCCTGTGTACACCTGTCTAATCCACTTCTGTTTGATAGGCCTTTCCAAGCCTATCTTCAGTTGTCCATCTTTCCTTGTGTGAGCTGTTGTGGGGCTTTTCCTTTGGTGGGATTTAAACAGCCCCCACCACCACACACATGCACACATGCCTTACTCTCATGCCAGCCTGCATCTTGTCCTTTCAATTAGTTAAACCTGGAGAGATCCACCACAGCACACCGCCCCTCCTCCAGCTAACGGCCCGTCTCCCGTTCTTATCCCGGGCTGTGTTTCGTTGCGTCTGTCAGTTTTTCTCAATTAGTAAACCTGACGTCCAGCTCAGTCTGCCCCTCCTCTCCTTTTGCTCTGCTTCAGTAATACAGTTTGCCTGTCTCTCTATTCAGTAATAATATGGAACTCCTGAAAAGAGCTACATCATTCATTCATAACTTAATTTTTCATTTGATTTCATATTTTTGCATTGTGTAATTTTGGCACCAGTTCACCAAGATATCTGCCACTGTGATCATTGTTTAAGTAAAATGTTACTAATGTTTACATTTCCAACATTATACACTATTCTAATACATTAAATGCTGTTACACTGTTTTGGCTTGATCAGTTATAAGGTATTATATTATATAAGTAGTATGATATTTGTTGTGATGTAAGTTCCCTTTCCTTTAATATTTTCCTACTGTATCTTATGAAAGAAATGAGTTCATGTCCTAAAGTGTCATTCACTTGCTGATGCTGCCTCCTGCATGTTGAGCTGGCATAATGCGCAGATGGGCAGCTGTGCAGTCAGCAGTGTGAGCTAAGACCCTGCTTGCATCGCCTGCAGCAGCAGAGACAGCGGCAGAAGCAGCAGCTCCCCTTGTCCCGCCAGATTAATGGCTGAATGGGCTCTGCCGTGCCCAGCAGTCCTCCTCTCGCCTCCCCATTGGAAAGCATGCTGAAACCAAGCGGGCTGGCATTATCGGGCACAGCCAGACCGCACTGTAAAAAAGGATTATGCCATCAATCGTCATGCTCACAAACAACATGCTGCTGCAGAAAAAGCCCCTCTTTCCTAGCTTGGATAAAGACTGGCAAGCTACGCTCTGCTTTCCTTCCTTCAAAAATCAGAAAAATGTCCACTGTGAACAATAGACCCCGATTCTTCCTGTGCACAAATGAATTGACATAAATGTAGATTCGTCATTGCAGAGAGACAAAGAGGATTGAGGGGTGTTAGAAAAGGTGCAAGGAATAAAATACAGAGGGTATGTAATTATCACCTGCTTGCCCTGAGCAGAAAGCAGCAGCCCCTTGCTATTGTGGAGCTGTTTGGCCTCTCTGTGAATTTCATTAATTAAGACTGGAGGCAGCTCATACAGGAGGTCATTAGGCCCACTGCAACACTCCTCCCTCTCCTGAGCCATAGCAGCACCGGCCCTATTGTTCTAACAGCCTAAAGTGAGACATTCAACACTTAGAAAGGCTGTAAAAACATGTTAGGTTCACATACACATAGGGCCAGAATCTACTGGATCTGCACTTTCTGAAATTGAGGTTTGCCAACACAAATAAGCCTGTGTTTCATTTAGTGCACCAAGTTGTGATTTCCTCTGATTTCCTCCTCCATCTTCATTTGTGAACTGTGCGAGTTGTGTTTGAGAGAGAGGTCGAAAGGGTAGACAGGTGCAGAAACAGGCAATCACAGACATGAAGTACCATAAGCATATAACTCAAGCCACATTTCCACAGGGGTGGTACAGTGCCGGTGGGGCCAACGTGGGGGATTTCCACTGACACAGTGAACTGTGCTGACCCACAACCCTTTCTGTATTGGTCTATCGAAGTTTGCCAGTTTAACCAAGTTCATGTTTTGATCCTAAAATACAATTTATATTCTTTTGTCATCAGTTGGTATTGTTTTTGTTGCTGATCTTGGCATTGTCCTGTTACAGTTTGTCGAATGTCTGTCCACCATTTCCTGCATTTAGATCTATTACTTCACCTGTCATTCAATGACATTATGAAAATAAATTGTTACTTTCACCTTTAGTATGGAATATGCAATAGCCTATTGTATTTTATTATACCATTATTTTTATTGAATTGCAGAAGTTATTTAAAATGTAATGTTATAAGCTCAAATATACATGCTTGAATTCCCAACGTTCACTTGACATTTCAACCTAGTTGTTGGTTTGTAAAGGTCAGCAGCTCCTCCCACTTTATCTCTGTAAACACAAACCTCAAATCCATCTTTATTACTTCAATCATGTCAATGTGCCAGACATTGCCAGTTCTGGAGAGACGAGGCAAGGGCCCATATGTTCCTAAGACATAACTACAATCCTATCCCCAAGACTAGGCTTGTCGTTTATTGTTTGCGTTCCAAACTCAAATCGGAAAGGTAAACATGACAGGCAGAGCTGGTCCTTATTTGCGTATGAACACCACCAGCTGCATAAGACCTGGGGGATTAAGTGGGTTAGTTGGGATAACTGGTTCTCAATGCTTATTGTCTCATCTTATCAATTCCTTGTCTCTGCCCCCATCTCTGTGTATACAGCAGCTCCAGGGTATCCGCGGTTCTCAGGAAGTCTGGCCCACACGTTCCTCCCAATGAGCCACTTAGATCACCATGCCAACAGCGGAGTTCTCTACGGGCAGCATCGTTTCTATGACACCCAAAAAGGTGAGGCACTACCTGATCAAAATGTAATCAGACAGAAATAAGACATTTAAATCTAATTCATACAATATGTAATAGGGTGTAATTTGATTTGGGATATTGATATAAAGATGCCTCGAGACAATCTTGAAAGCTGGATAATGTAATAGCTTTATTGCCTTTTCCTTTTTTGTCTAATGCATTTGTCTTCCCTGGTCTTTGATTTCAGAGAACTTCTACCTCCGAGGTCTCCCATCCCAACCTCCTCTAATCTCAGCCAATCACAGCCTGCCGCCAATGTCCAGGGCGGTATCAGGACACTCACAGGGCTCCTGTAGTCGAGACCGTGATCCAGGTGCAGGGCAAGGTCTCCAGAAAGGACTTAAAGAGGGATCCACCGAAAGAGGAGTGGTGCCTGGGAAAGAGAAGGAGAGGTCCAGTAGCAAGCATGATACAAAAGACAGACAACAGCAGCAGCATCACAGTCACCATCTGGCACCGCCCACACACCACCACCATCATTCCCATCCACATCAACAGCACCCACAGTACCAACAGCACCCACTGCCCTTGGAAGAAGTTAACAGTCGGCCTTTGGAAAGACATAAATCGTCATTACCCATGGAGCATCCACAAAATATGGGGAAAACCCTCAGTGCCTGTTTGCACAATGGCAAAATGCAAAATGGAGATACAGGAAGTACAATGGGCAGGAGCTGTGGAGGAGAAGGCATCGGGGCAATGGGAGGTCGGCATATGGGGCAGAGCAGTGGAAGTCGCTGCACCAAAGAAGGAGTCAGTGGAGGTATGAGAATCAGTGAACAACCATCGGACTGTTTAGAAAGAGGACAAGCCCCTCTACACCACACTCTACCTTACTCTGTACCTCCTCCTCTACACATGGGGACCACTACAGGAGCAGCACACCCACACTCCCATCCACACACACACTCACACACACACCCAGGGGGCTTCCACTGCCTCCAGCTCCACCCAAGTCACCCACACCACCCACATCATTCCCATCACCACCCAGACTTCTTCTGCCCACCCCCTCCAGCTCCTCTCTCCAACCCTGCTTCCCATGACAGGGGGCCAGCAAATGGGGGGAGACAACCAAAAGTCACAGGAGCTACTTTTGTGCCATCTGTGGCAGACGGTAGTGACAAATCCAGTGGGCCTTTTCAGCTTGGTAACCCTGACTGCCAGGCAGTGGGTGGTGGTGGGGTTGGAGGGGGAGGAGGCAATGCCAAGGACAAGGTTTTAGAAAAGAATGGAGGAGGTGGGCACCATAGTAACTGGCAGCGAAAGCAGCAACAACAGCATCAACAACAGCATCCATACAGAAAAGCAGACAAGGCTCCGGATTGGCTACAGCCCCAACAACATCATATCCAGTCCACACAGATGCCCCACCCCGCCCAGCAGCCTGTGCCCCCACATCCCCAGCAGCACCAGGTGGTTCGCTCTCGCAGCGCTGAGTGCATCAACTCTGGGGTGGACATGGACGTGTTCAGATCCCCAGACCCAAAAACTGGACATGCTATGCCCCACTCTGTGAACACATCTCCCTTTAGAGACTGCTCTCACCAAGGACCCCCACCCAATGCCTCTCCACTGAGCAACAAAACTATGAGCCAGCACAATGGGTCTGTGCACAGCTCCGTGGTTGCACCAGGGGGGGGCAGTTGCTCATTACAGAGAGATGGCCAGAAGGTTGCTCGAATTCGCCACCAACAACATGGGCGCAGCGGACAAGATGCCCCTTCCCCGGCTGAAATGAATCAAGGGACCAGTCAAGAGATGAAAAGAAAAATGGATATTTCTCCTTATGGTTATCCCAACAACAATGGGCAGCATCAGCAGCCCCCAGCGTCACCCTGGAACATGAGGCCTTCTCATCACATGTCCAAACCAGAGGAAGAGCAGAGGAAGACTTACATGGAGTTAGGAAATGCAGTCAGGCCACATACTCAGCAGCAGCAGCAGCAGCCAGGTATGAACCTGCCTCCACCACAGCCCCCCTCTGCCCCCTCTCTGGGCCCACAGCAGCCTGAGCCTCAGGCCCAAAGCCAGGGGGACAGCAGTGCCACAAAAGCTTTACTGAAGTACAGCAACCAGCAGACCATGCTCCCCTCTCAGAAGACTCCCTTTGGGGGTCTGGGAAGTCTCAAATCTGCTGGTGGGAGCTGCACCCTGCAGGGGAACAAACACACACTGCCGCCAAGGAAAGGCCCTGTCAGCGATGGAGAGCGCTCCGATTGCAGCGGACGCAGCAGGGAACTGGGAGAGCCAGGCCACGGGGAGACAGAGGTACGGCAGCCTCCCGTGGGAATCGCAGTGGCTGTGGCCAGACAGCGAGATCCACCATGCCGCTCAGGAGACAGCCACCACAACAGTCGCCAAGGCAGAGTGCACCCCTCAGTGAAAGGTGAGCACCTCTGACATGAAAGTGGCTTACACTCAGACAGTTTTTAGATTTTGTGATTTTGTGATTATTTGGTGATTTGATTTGCAGTGTGTGGACACACACTGCCATAAAACAAAACAGTGAAACCAGTATTTTCTCACAGGAGTCACTCGCTCCATGTATTCATCAGATCTCTCTACAGATGAGGAGAGAAAAAGGATGAATGGGGAACTCACTTGTTTGGACAGAGACAGAGATCCATATATCAGGTATAAAAGCTGCTTGAATAAAATGTTTTACTAGTTATTTAGAATTGATATGCTAGGTCTGAAATGCATAATGTTAACATTATATTGTCATGCCTCCAGGGAAAATAAAGAAAGGGTGGAGTTTTCAAGGATGCATCCCCCCAACAGCTGTCATGGAGACCTGAGCTCTCATCTGATGGTCCCGGGTGGAACGTCCCTTCAGTCTGGCCAATTAGGAGATCCTGCTGCACATTCTGCTCATCACTGGATGCCAAGAACAGGAAGCCCATCACTATGGATGACAGGACACTCTTACAGTAAATAATCCTTGTTATTAATTCATAGTTTTTTTTTATTACCTCTGTTCTGTCTTAACATCATCACCAATCTAGTGCTGCAATGGTAAAGAAAGCTGCCTGAGATGGGAGCCTTATTTAAATGTAATTCTCTTTTGTTAAGCAGGTATTGGTCACAGCGCTCTGCATCAGAATCTTCCTCCAGGATTTTCTGCTGCAATGCCAGGCCCTTTGCAGCCCGTCCTGCCTCTCCCCCAAGACCCCTCACAGCTGGTGGTCCTTCCCACTGAGCCAGCTGCTCACCCGCCAACACATCCCCTAGGTTTGTCATCACTTACATAGTTAATAAGCCTTGGTATTACTGAAGAAAATATAATTGGGGTATGGCATATTAGTCGAACAAATTACAGGTATTGTAACTGTTTGGTATATTGGTATACTGGTGTACTGGTATTTATGGTATATTTTATTATATAAATACTTACACTACTGTATACAACTACTAAGTATTAGTATACATTTTTGAGTACTCTTATAGCATCAGGCCTTTCCCTCTTTCAGCCAACTAATTGTTGCACAGAGCATTCTTTATTTGACAAAATGTCTTGAGTCAATGGCAGCCCTACAAATTACACAATAAGCATAATGTGTTCTTGCATATATAATATCTGAGCCAGTATTTCATGCATGGAAAATTATCTACACAAACATGCCCTGTGTTTCACTCAGACTCTCACAGGCCCCTTTGTGGTGTGTGCAGGTGGGACTTCTCAGAGCAAAGGTTACTCTGACACTTTTCCACAGCTCAATGTTGGGGCAGTTAATCTGCTTTAGCCATCATCTGCATTTACTTTTTGTCATAGTTTCCATCATTCCATCAGCTTTGCCAATTCTCAGTGTTTTACTTTTTTTCAGTGTGTGATATTTTTGCAATGAAATGTTGTTCTTCATAATCATAATTTATTTCTGAGTAGATTATGTTTGTATTGCAATAAAATAAAGTGACTTTCAAGTGGACTAAAATGGTTTTAGTGCTTTAAAGGTTGTTTGGGACGTATGTAATGAAAGATTATTGCGTGAAAAACAACCAATTGTATTCTAAGTTGGGCATTTCTTTCTCTCAAAGTTAGCTCCCTTCATCTCTTACTCTGTTCTCTTTTTCATTAGATGTGATGGAGCAGCCGGGACTGTGGCCCCCTGTGTATGGCACCCGGGGCCCACCCTCCCACATGCAGCATCCCGCTGTGTACTCTCGCTCCCAGTTTCTACGGCAACAGGAGCTGTATTCTCTCCAGCATCCTCAACTTCAGCACCCGCATCAGCACCAGAGCCACCAGCCACAACAGGCTCAAGGCCATGTTCAAGGCCAACCCCAACAGAGGGCACTTAACATGGACATGCAGCATCATTCCAATCACAATGCACAGGTGAACATGAAAAAGAACAAAATTAACTGGATTATTAATATTAAAAACAACATATAAATCAAGTCTATTGTGTGAATGCAAATTAAAAGTTTATGTTTGTTACAGATTCAGAAAAGGCCAGATGAGACGCCTGAACTGGAGGAACTTATCTCTGAGCCTAGGACATCTAAACCAGCCAAGCCGTACTCATACAACCCTCCAAGGAGGAACACCCCGACCCCCGGAGCCTGTCCCCCCTCACATGTCTCCTTGTTGTCAGTCCCCATCAATAAGACCACATCCCAAAAGCACCCCCTCCACGCCCTGCCCTGCACCCAGCCCGGCCGCAGCGGCTCTCCAGTCTCCTGCCATCAGCCCTGTACCACCTCCCATGTCAAAGAGGGCCGAAACCCAGGAGAAGAGTGCCGAGATAGAGCTGCCACAGGAGTATCCGGAGTCACTAGAACCGGGTACGTTGATTCTGCTATTACAATAATTAATGTGTAAAATAATGCTCTGCGTATTTGATGAAGCAAAACATAATAGCTTCTTACCGCAATAAAGTCTGAATCATTATTATCTGGCTATCTTTTTTTAGTCAGTAAAAGCAAATGTAACTCAGATACAATAGCAAAATAATGTTATGTTATAATGCATATTTTATTTGATATTCTTTGTTTTTTTTCTTTCTTTTAGACCTGCCTCCTGGCTATGTGTACCCCGGCATTGCCATTGGCTACAGAAATGTGCCCTCCTCTGAAGATGTGCAGCTGGCTGAGCCTGCAGACCTGGCTGCAGTCCAAGTGGAGCCTGTAAACCGTGCTCCCCAGTCTCTCACCAGTTTAGGAGAGGGACTGGAGTGTCAAGCTGTGGTCAGACCTCTCCAGGAGGCTTTATCGCCTCAGAAACCTGTACAGGAAGTAGATGAAGATGTAGCTGAGGTCTTGGGGGATAGAGAGAAAGTAGCAGAGGTAACAGCACTTTATGTGCCTGCCGAGAAGGAGCTAACACAGCAGAGGCACGGTGACGATGAGGTGCTTGTTTGTCCCCCTGCTACAAGCCCGGTGCGTGAGGTTGCCTCCTGTCCGATCCCTTTATCCACAGAGGACAGTGAAAGGCCACAAGCTGTCATCACCCTGGATGAAGAGGAGGGGGATGAGCCAGCGGAGGAGAGCCAGGTGGAGCTGGCACAAAAGGTCAACATGCCTGAAGAGCAGCATACAGGGCTGGCCTCCACCAGCGTGCCCAGCCCCTGCTCTGCTGCCCTGCAGGCTCCAGAGACCCTGTCTGCTGCTAATGCGGAGGACAATGGGCCTGGGATGGAGAGTGAGGCAGCTCCTGATGCCTGTGAGGAAGCACTGTCTCCAGTCTCTGCCCTGAGCCCTCAGAGCACTCACACTGAAGTCATGCCTCACAAACCGCTGGTGCCATGCTACTGGAGTCTGGAGCTGCTGATAGCTGCAGCCTTCTGCACAGACGTCCCTCCATTCCCTCTCTTCCCCTTCAGTGCCCCGGCAGCCTCCCCGTCAGAGCCAAAGGCCCACGCTGGTATGGAGCTCCTGAGTGAGTTAGCCGATCTGGAGCTACAGCAGCAGCGGCAGAGCTGTGGGAAAAGCCCGGGTGAGGAGCACTCCTCTCTCTCTCTCTCTCTCTCTCTCTCTCTCTCTCTCTCTCTCTCTCTCTCTCTCTCTCTCTCTCTCTCTCTCTCTCTCTCTCTGCATTAACATATCAGCCAAACATACACAATTGTTATAGTTTAGCCTGCCTTTACTCTGTCCACTGAGACCAACTCCCTCCGGCCCCTTTGGCCCCTCAGGCCTAGCCTCTGTCATACAACACACTCCAACACTGCTTTCCGTGCTGGTCCACACGCCTCAGGTGGATTGAACATGTCCCTAAAGAATAGGCCTCTCCTGCAGTACTCTTTGGTGTGTTAAAGGCACTTTTATTTCCTAAAAACCTTTTATAACGATGCACAGGCCTCAGGAGAGGCAGAAGAAGTAAGCGGACAAAGCTGCAGCGAGTGTACACCTCCCTCTTTCCCTTCCTCCCTCACTCACTCTCCCTCCCTCTCTCCTTCTTCCTTACTGTCTTCCTAAGGGAGTTGTCTCTCCATCCTGCCACTGTCTGATCCACTCCACAGCAAAACTGCAACTTTGAAAACAAACACACACACACACAATAAGAAGTGCACAGTCCTTAAAGATATCTAAAGAATATATAAAATGTGAACGTACCATTTGGCTTTTGTTTTTTAAACTTATTACTAAAATGTTTTGTGTGCTTACAAAATCTGTCATCTGTGCTTTTGTACCCGCGTGCATTGCCTGGTAATTAGACAGCCGCCATTGTTTTAAAGTGCCTGTAAAAGCTTCCTTGTTTTTCAAAGCATTGTGTATTTTTTTTCATGCAATGGATGTTTTGTGTTTACCACAGCATCCTAATGCATTTAACCACTCCCTTAAGAGACATCTATAAAAAGAGTATCATCAACGCTTTTTGGGAGATCTTGTCTTCTCAAAGCAGTATTGTTGACAGCTCAGAGAAGCGCCACATAGTTGCAGCCAAAACAAGTTGTACAACAAGTAAAGATCAAGGTTTTTTATGAACTTACTGATGTACAGATGAGAGGTTTTGTTTATTTGTGAACTAAACATCATGCATTTACACATTTGAGTTTGTGCTATTCAGCTATTACACATATAACAGAATGGCAGTAAAATGTATAACCCAGGATTATCTCATAACAGAAGAGGAGCTGCTGATGTTTGACTTGAGGAGCCTGGCGACCTTGGCCACAGCGCGGGCCCTAGAGATGGGGCATCCAGAATCCAAAATCTCAGGTTCAGAGAGGCATCTTCCAGCCCGAAGGATTCTTAATTTACGAAGGAAATGCAGCTGGACCCCTCGTAATGAACCAGTAAGACTACAAGTGTTGGGTGAGGTTTATTTTGGTACAAGAATGGCCACTAATATTATGTTCCACAGGTTTGCCCTGCCAAGGGTAGTGTTGAAACAATCGATGGTCCTGAGCTCACTATGCGTGTGAAGTTGGCAGAGCTACAGCGGCACTACAAAGAGAAACAGAGGGAACTGGCCAAGCTTCAGAGGAAGCATGATCATCAGTGAGTATGATTATACTGTTGTGGGCTGGCATGTCATACCCTATTAACAGCATTCAATGGCAAAAGCACTTTTTAATGACAGCACTTCTCTTTGTTAATACAATAAGCTATGTTTCACATCTCTAAATGTGTGTCCTTCTCTGTACTTTTTGTTTGCATGTAAACAGGAAAGAGGAAACCCCACGCAGCCCAGCAAGGCGTGGCCCAGGTCGGCCAAGAAAGAGGAAGCCCACCTCCACCTTGAGTTCACTGTCGTCAAATGATGGCCACAGGAAAGTCAAGTGAGTATTAGAGCCCTCTGCTGTAGGCCTCTGTCCAGTGGCTTAAAGCATTTAAAAGTATGTAAGAAAGTCTACTCGCTACTACCCAATATCAACTTTACATGCTCACCAGTTGTTCACCGAGGTTATCTCTCTGTTTGATAAAAGTACCAGTTCAGATTAAGGTAAACTTCTGGTGGCACAACACACGCTGGCCTACTTATTTAGGGGAGTAGGTTTTAGCAAATTCTACTGGGACAAGTGACCAGGGCATATTTAAATACTGAGAAGTCTACTGTAATCTGTGCCACACGCAGGAATGTCACACACAAGCGGGGGTCTCCAGGGGTCTGCAGGATACTATGACCATCACACTGCACGCACTCACAGATAAGATGCCCTTTAGTGCTGTCATCTAATGCACAAGCTCTACAACAATTAGCAGATTTGAGTCAGGCAAAGAAAGGCGTGATTAACAGGGAGTCCAAAAAGCCATGACACAACTTGTGGCAGTTGAGCATCTGTTGTCCACTCCTGGGTACAGAGCTGCTTCACTGGGATGTGCAGGTGCTTAGGGGATAAAGGTGTGCTGTCAGGTTTCAATTAGCAATGTCATCAGGGTTTTCTAGAGATTAGTTTGCAAAATGTCACCTCATAGTGATGTGTCCGTCTGCTATTCCCCAGTCGCTCTGGGCTTCAGTCCACAGTGTTCCCAGCTGTTCCTCTGCTATGTCACCTCCACCCTCTCTCCACCCTGTAGGCTGTACCCCTGCTTTCAGTCAGGCCAAACATAGTCCAAATAGAGAACCAGCACACTGCAGTATAACCAGGAAAAGTAGAGTATAGTCAGTGGTGTTATCTATCTGCTTTGTTCATTTATCTATAAAATCACTCACTAGATGGCAGGGTTTTCACCATGGGTTGACTTTGCTCATGAACCTGTTGAGTATGACATGACGTTTTGAGAGAAGGCGCAGACAGGCAGTCTGGGGACTGATTAGCCCCATGTTGAGTTACATGGCAGGGTTATGTAAAAGCATGTAGCGCCGCAGCCACTCATGCCTCTACAACTCTGGAGCCTTGATGGAGGGCAGTGGGTCAGTGTAGAACTATACTCCTTACACGTCCTATTTTTACTATCATCTCTGTAGAAGAAAGCAATAAATTTAAGCCTGCCTGTGCATGCCTTGCATTTGCACTATTAAGTATGCATGCAGCTGAGTTCCTATGAGCCGTTAGGCTGCTATTGTTTGTTTTAGAGCGTGTCTGTAATTCCTAGGGGTAGAGCAGTGGGGTCTTTGATTGAGGGGAGGGTGAAAGAGAACTGTGCACTCCAGCAAAACCCGCTAATCAATTCTGTTTAATTAGTCACTGCATGTGCAGCCTTACCACCCCCCACTAAGAGGAGGGACTCTGTCACATTGTGTTTGTCAGCAACGAGAGGCAAGCTGTGGAGGGCTGTGGCTCGCAGGGACAGCTCACACTCTGCTGCCACCTCTGTCACTCAGTGTCAGTGGGCAGACTATCCCTAGGCCACCCATCATCTTTCTTTTCATGTTTTTCAATGCCTACAATGAATCGGAATATTTGATATTTATATGTGCAATACCTTGTAAAACCAGATATAGGCATGAACAATAAATTGTGATTATTATTTTATATTTAATCTATTGTTGCACCACTGCTAATGGGTGAATGTGACTGGTCTCCTTGGCTGTGCTCAGTGGGAGAGGTGAAGTTAATCTTTTGTTTGAGCATGGTCTGGCTCGTGCTGTAGCCTATGGGCAGGCTTCCAGGGGAAATTCAAGGGCATTTGGAGAGGTTGGCCTGTGATGGTGCTCAGCGTAGGGGAAAGAGTGTGCCACTGTGATATGAAAATGCAAGTGCAGAGCTGTGATCTTCACAGTGAACAATAGAGTTGCATACAAATGCAATAGCCATGCACCACACATTTTAAAACCAGGCAGTGTTTTATACATGCAAAATAAAAGTATTGAGGCTTCTAAATGACTGCATTTCTAGGTTGCACTCAAAGTGCAAAGTTTATATTTTCTCTTGACTACAATGCAAAGAGAGCATACAATGTAGTTCATTAATCGTAATCATTACTTTTGTTTGATGGACAGGTCTGTAGGGGTGGGGCTTGCCATGTCACCTGAGCACTCTGCTGGAGACAACCAGAAGAGGAAGAAGAGACTCTCCAGTCGAAGCTTGGAATCAAGCAGCTCTCAGGTCCGGGCCATGTCTTTCTGCACACTTAAAAAGTGACATTATTTGATATACACACATGGTGCGAGCATCTTCATCTTAGGAGTTAATATCTTTTTTACTAATTGTGCTTTGTTAATATGTTATTCCCTCAAATGGGTGTGTGAAGAATAAAGCTAAAGAGGTTTTGCTGCTTGTGCAGCTGCTGTGACCTGAGTGTAGCAGGCTTTCTTTGACTTTCTCATGTCTCTCTTCTTCAGCAGATAAAAGCACAGGGCTGCAAGAGGAGCACTCTCCACGGTGTGCTCAGCTCTAAGTTGTCTGCTGATGTGGCTCTGCTCAAACAGAAGGCCCAGCATAAAAAGAGTGTCTCTGGGGCGGGCTCCAGGGACAAAGAGACCTCGCCTTGTAATTCCAACCCCAAACATGGACACCGAGGTCAGGGCACGAACAAAGCTGAATCCAGGAGAGAGTCAGGCGGGCAAAGTGACACAGGTACAATACACTCTATTGATTCTGCCTGCTATTTATCAATGTAGCTTTGTGTTGCCTGTTATCCTTTAAAATCTACTTCTATATTTAATTTAATCACTGCATTTTGTTCAGCAGCCAGTGGAGACAGTGGCCCACATGAAAGTTGGATTGGACAAAAGAAGGGATCAAGGCCAATGAAGCAGGGTTCATCTCAGTCACGAGGAAAAGACAGAGATAGAGAGAGCTCCCCACCAGAAACCGACTCCTCAGAGCAAGGTATCTATTTACCATGCATAAGACTGGAAAATATGATTAAACAAACAAACAGATTGATCACAATTTTAGTTTAAATTGTATTTTACAATTAAGTTAATTAAAAAACATTCAATATTATTTTTCTGAATACTAGACTTTTTATAATTTAAAATAAAAACTGATCAGTGACAATTAAAAATTAACTGGATTAATTTGCCATCTCTGTGCTCCCTTGCCAACTGTGCATGCTGTCTACTTTACTATGGTGTCCTCTATATAGTGTGCACTAAAAGTTCAAGGCCTGATGAAATGTGCCTTTACAGGCAGTGTCAATTTGAAATACTAATTGTGACAATGTTGACAGTTTAGTACTCATGAGCTTTGGAAAGTTTGAACAACTCTTACTCTTTGAGAGCACTGAGAGAGGGAGACGGTTAAAACAGCTCCACTCACTACACAGCCTACCATGTCACAAACAAGCTACTGAACAAAGGAGTTGATAGAGAAGAAGAACAGCATACCATACATCCATACCATACCTACTCGAGGAGCTGTTAGCTATTAACTTGAACAATAATGAGGTGCCTGCAACATAATGGAGAGTTGGTTGTAACCAATGAAGGGCTGATTACCTGTGTAGTTATATACAGGCTACATGTATAAAGTCTATCGCTTGTTCTCTCTGCTAGATGTGGAGGATGAGGACGGGAGTGACAGTGATGAAGGTCAAGACCAAAGGACCCGACCCAAGCCCAGTGAGGTTCATTCGGGCTCTGCAAAAGGCCCAAGTCCCTCGTCGGTTGTAAAGCTGGAAGCTAATCAGAAAGCCAGGAACAAAAAGCAGAGACAGGAGCTTTATGGTAAGACACTCCTTTGAAAATGATTATACAAGTCAACATAACTGGCCTGGACATCTGGTTCACATTTCTCATCCTGGCTTGTTAGTTTGGCCTGACTTTTCTAATTGAACTATGCAGGCTCCCTCAGTCTGCCTAGTGTGGAGGGTGAGGTCAAAGGGAAGAAAGAGCCACAGTCAATCACGACCAATCAGAGAACTTTATTCTGAATACTTCGAATACTGTCACATTAAGTTGCATTATATTATACTGTAAAACACCACATATCTCATGCTTTATGGATGCTACTAGATAATATTAACTTATCATTCAATACATTTTAGCTGGAACAATATAATATTTGCTACTTTTTGTGAAGCATGGTAAGACTGCAGCAGTAGAGGGTTGAATAAGTAACTACTGTGACTTATTATTTGTTCATTTTGCTATGTTGTTATTGTGTCAGAGTAGTTGTAGTATTATAGTTTATCACAACATTTCTCTGTAGCAATACATACTAGGCCTAACTGTTGCACTATTTGTAATAATTTTTTATCACTAATTAGAGTAGGAACATTTATTTTATGGTTTGGCCTGACTTTTGTAATTGAACTACGCAGGCTCCCATACTCTGCCTAGTGCGGAGGGTGACGTCAAAGTGAAGAAGAAGCCACAGTCGAACACGACCAAAAAACGCCATGACGATTACCGACCAGGGTCTAAGTCCAAGGAGCAGCGCTGGGGCAGTCTGAGCTCAAGAGGCAGCCGCTACAGGAGGACCATGGGACTGGCAACTTTCACAACAACCACTGAGAGGCTCAAGAGGGCAACTCGCAAGAACACCATCTTGAGAGGCACAATAAATAAGGTAGGTTGTTAAAAATAGACCAACATTGTATGCATCTATCTAATATTGATGATCATAACCAATTTAATAAGCAACCCAACTCCCCAAATTATGAAGCTCTGTTGTGTATCTTTTTAATTAAAATATGTTGCCTGTTAGACTGACACAAAAGGGAAATTTTTTTGTCTCCAATTGTGACTTGTGACTTTTGGGTTGCTTAAAATGAGTTAAACAAAAATAAAACTGTCTACCCATGCTCAAAACTTACTTTCACATTTTGCATTTTTAAACCAGAGATCAAGTGAAACAAATAATGTCTTGAACAAAACTGAAAAAAAAAAAAAAAAAAAAACATTTCTATTTTCTCAATAGAGGAGAAGCTGCTGGTCAGCTCCATCTCCACAAAGTGACGAGGGAAGAAGCCGAAGAAGCAAGAACCACGAGGTAGCTATAGATTTTCTAATTAATTCAATGTTGTCTATTTTCTGTTGCTTAACAAATTTACTGTAAAACTTTTAAAATACACATTCACACATTGCACACAGTTGAACCCCCTGCTGCGTTATCTTAGCTCAAAGATGTGGGAAACAGGTTGGTTCACACCTTCTGCTGTGAAAGAAATCCACAAATGTTGAAAATGAAGAAAATGCCTACTGATATAAGCCCCCTGTAGTTCGCAGATCCAAACTACTGCTAAAAACACGATTCCTCTCGCATTGGAGCTGCATGTTTATGTTTCTATGAGCCCGTGCCTTCATCCATGTTTGTGTCCCTCCCTTCTGTCACGTTCTCCAGCCAAAGGGACACGCTGTGAGTCGGCTGTTGGAGAGCTTCGCAGCTGACGAGGGCTTTCAGATGGATGGAGGCAGTTTCTCAGAGGAAGAGGAGGAATACAGGCATTTGTATAAAAACAAGAGCCCCAATTGTAAGTAGAAGTAACACAAATATTTCCACATTGTTGAAGCCAAATTCTAAGTTTTGGACTCTTGTTTTTGTAGTTCCAAACTGTGTCCTGACCAAAGAAATGCTGACGGATGGACTCAAGGTGCTGATATCAAAAGAAGATGAACTGCTGTATGCTGCAAAAGTCCACACACTGGACATACCAGATATGTGAGTGTATATGATTTTATTACAAAATCTGACAATTAAACACAATAACTTGCATAATTTATCAAGCGCTTGGACACATATTAAACAGATGAATGAAGTATATATACAGTATTTATGTTCTTGTACCTTTTTGCTCATTTCTTAAAAACTATACACAATATAACCACAAACAGCAGTTGCTAGATAAATAAATCCTTTTTGTATTTTAAGGCACTCTAGTTCACCCCTTTTTCACCACTGGCCTCCTTCTTCTGCAGAGTGCTTACATGTACTGCCAGTATTTGTAAATAATCTTGGTTCAAGCTATGAAGAATAACAAAACATTGTCTATTTTTGACCCTTTAATATTTTTGCACTTACATAATATTCCCACACACCTGGCTCTGTATACCAGCACCGAGTGGGAGTACCTCTGACCAAAACACGTGATACAAAATGTGAAATCCTTTCTTTTTTTCCTTTTAGCTTCAGCATTTTGATCGATGGGGAGCGAGGAAACCGACCACGAATTTATTCATTGGAGCAACTGCTACAAGAAGCTGTAAGTTTGGGCTGCCATATTAAACATCTATCTGACATTTACATTCACCTTTGACACTTAACCTCTTGCCGTTTATGGCCTGGTGCTGAGTTTTCTCCTTCAAACATCCCCTAACTGTCTCGTGGGGTCACTGAGGCCGTCTAAACCTCTTAAGTGAATAAGGACAGATGGAGGCGGGAGGTTTGCGTCTTACTGTGGAACTGGCGGTTAGACCAACGCCCTGTGTGGATGTGATAATCCTGCTAACACCTGGATCCAGACAAAAAGACAAAAATATTACATGTTTTATGCTTATTTCTCTGAGCGTAATGGTATTGTTGTTGTTTTATGAAAAATTGTTTATCGATAGGCAAAATTATAATCAACAATAGCTTTTCTATCTGTGACATTTGCTCCACTTCCTGAGAGGATGCTGGTCTTTGTACTGATAAGTCTGAGGTCAGCTTAGCTAACCTATAGCATACTTGCTGTGGGTGTTCATTCAAAAACCAAACACGAACATGAAGGTCAACTCAGATTAGCTTGGATGTTCGATGAATGCACAATTTTAGCTGTGTGGAGCCTCCTTTTATTTATCATTTACCTTTTTTGTTGTGTTAAATCTACGCTCTACAAAACGGAGATCAGGACAACAGACTGAACAACAGAATAGAAATCAATTTAAATTTTGCCCAGGAGTTTATCTGTTACATGTATGCCTCTGATAATTTCCAAAATGTTACTCTTAAATCTTATTATTCACCCAAATTCAGATTAACATATTTAATAGTAGTCATTTACATTTATACCTTTGTTTCTCTAGTAAAGCATGCGTTTATTACACGTCATGCTTCAATCTTATCAAGTTATTTTTCTTGCTTTTGTCTGTACATTTGTCCAATAAACATTTATTAGCCCGTGACACCTCCTTTTCTCTCCAGTCTTCACAAAAACACACACATGCCCTCTCACAAACACACACAAACCCACCCATCCACACCTCATCCGTCAAAGAGCCCTCACCATGGCAACAGTAAATGAAAGAGCCCCCAGTGAGCGGCGGATGCTGGGGCTGCCTGCATTGTTGGAGGGAGGATCTGGCAACCTGCAATCACAAACCCCGCTATTCAGGGCCTCTTTAGTATTACTCAGCAAGTCAGGATTTACTGCATCATGGCTTCCGCTCTTTTCAGGCCTGACTGGCACATTGGCATGAGATAAGTGCCGCTTGGAAACGTGGCACAGTGGCTGCCCCTGCACAATGCCCTCACAGCTCTCACACACTTGATAGGGCTCTGTGTGCGTACATGCAAGTGTGCTTTTGTGCACCTTGTAATGAATCCTGATGATCTTTTGCTTTGAAGGTCCTGGATGTCCGTCCAGAGTCAGAGGCCGTGCTTCCAGAGGGGACCAGAGTGTGTGCCTACTGGAGTGAACGCTCTCGCTGCCTATACCCCGGCTACGTGCGCAGAGGTCAGACACCAGCTACTGTCATTTCTTCTGTTGTTGCTACACAGATATTTACACATGTTATCATTTTAAGGTGGCTCTGATGAGACCAAACCAGGAGTCATGGTGGAGTTTGATGACGGAGACAGGGGAAAGATTTCTCTCCAAAATATCCGGCTTTTACCTCCTGGATATCAGATCCAATGTGAGTGCATTATTTCATCCTCTAGACAAAGCCCTCACTGTCACCTCATGTCACTGGAAAATACTGTGTATTTTCTCTTGCATGTCAGGTGGAGATGCACCCCCAGTCCCTCTTCCAAATGTGACAACTGCCAAAAGGAGTTCCCATCTGGAGCAAGCCCCCATCAATGAGAGGCCTTCTGACAGACTGAACAGTGTTGACACTATGAACAAACAGACTGTCAACAAAAGAAGACCGGGTTAGTGAACATAATTTAAATGCTTACATGTAGCTACAAATATTACAAAAACTATAAACATCTTTGTTTTGTTTCTTGTTTTAGGGAGACCAAAGGGTTCTGGTAAAAAGCAAATGCAGCTACAGCAGCAGGAGTCTAAAAACTCCATGTTTATGGGTTGGCCCATGACCTCTAGCAGGAAGAGGACATGTGACAATCTCTTTGGGACACAGAGGAAGACTCGAGGGAGGGACAGTGACCTGTTCACCTCTGCTCCAGTGCAGCCTCTGTCCTCCGCACCATCCAAAGGCCTGTTCAGCAGTAGCTCCTTCGAAGTGGACTCCTTTAGCAGCATCGCAAATGGCTACTCATCCTTCTGCACTAGACCTGAGTCAAACCTATCACTGGGACGCAAAGATGGTCTATATAGTCAAAAACGCAGGCCAGATGAACAACTTAGCATGCCCCAAAGTAGGAAGTCTGGGCAAGAGTTCCTGGTTAAGTTGGACCATGAAGGAGTTACGTCACCAAAAACAAAGAACAGCAAAGCTCTTCTGTTACGCGGTGCATCTTCTAGTGTGAGTAGCCTGCCCAGAGCCGAGGCCTACTCCCACCCTGTCCTGCTGGTCAAAGACAATAAGAAAGGAGGTGCCAACAAAGTAGAACTCCTCCTCAAAGGGACCTCAGCCCAAAGGAAGCCATCTCCATCCCTTGGCCTCAGAGATTATGGTGACCTGGGGTTCAGTTCTCACCGTGAATGCCACAGTTCCTACTCTGATTATGAGGAGGAAGACGAGCGGAGGAGGGCTGCAATTTTGGCTCGGGGTCTCAGGGCTGGTGGGCGTTTCCTGTCTCGCCTTTCTGTGTCTTCTTCTTCATCTGGGTCTTCTAGCTCCTCCTCATCAGGCTCCATGTCAAGCTCTAGTCTCTGTTCCTCGGACAATGACTCCTCTTACAGCTCAGACGATGAAGACAGCTCAGCATTGATGTTACAGAGTTGTCTATCAACCCGCCAAAGACTTGTGCAAGCTAATGAGCCCTCTACTTCCTCCAGGTCACACCCCTTTGGGGCTAAAGCTGTAGCAACATCTGATGCTAACAGCAAGTCACTCAAAAGGAAGGACTGCACTAGCTCAAAAGAAATTGTGAAAAAACCCAGGATGCAAACAAACGAGAATTCATTCATTCCAAGACCCAAGATGTCCGGTTTTCTTGCGGGACGACAGATGTGGAGGTGGTCAGGAAACCCAACACAGGTGAGTCAACAAGAGATTAGCTTAGGAAAAGTACATTTATGTTGATAGATAGAAAGATTAGTCAAGTGTTTGGTTTTCCACAGAGAAGAGGTCTTAAGGGCAAAGCCAGGAAGCTTTTCTATAAGGCCATTGAGCGAGGCAGAGAGACAGTAAGAGTGGGAGATTGTGCTGTGTTCCTCTCAGCCGGACGTCCCAACCTCCCCTATGTAGGTCGTATCGAGAGCTTCTGGGAGTCCTGGACCAGCAGCATGGTAGTCAAGGTGAAGTGGTTCTACCATCCAGAAGAGACCAAGCTCGGCAAGAGGCTGCAAAATGGCAAGGTGAGTTTAGGCTCTGTTATAAAGTTGTATAAAATAGAGGGTTACAATCCATCACTGATTATTTCTCATTTTCGTGCAGTGTGTGACAGTCAAATAATAAATTAAACTGAGAATCAAGATAATTTTGTCAGTTTAAAGGTGTACAATGCGAGGCTCATTCCTAGTGGAGGATCCAACGCCTACTTGTCATGGAAATGCTATTGCTTTGTCTAAAATGTTATACACTGTAGATTAAACCTATCTATCACATGGGAGACAAACAGGTTACAGCACAATGCTATTTTACAGTTCAGATCTGTGGAGAGTCACCCCATTCATAGAAGGAATTAATATATAAATAAGTAGGTAGGGGACCCTTCACAAGAGAAGTTGCACACTTCACATTTCATTTGGTTTAAAAACATAAATACTTTCACTACTAATGTTGGTATCTGTACTACTCATCAAGAACTGCAAATTTATACAAGCAGAGAGAGTCACAAGCCACTTTATGTACTGGCAGCCTCAAGCGTGAATAAAATGTACTGCAACTGCAATTTATGTCAGTAATTAAAATGGAACAAAACAGATACTAAGGTGACCCAGAAGCAAAAATATAATATATAGAAGAAGGGTGTAATTCTTTTACGAGACAAACTATATTTTGCATATTTTTAAATCTGTTGTGTCCTCCTTTCAGCATGCCCTGTACCAGTCTTGCCACGAGGACGAGAACGATGTCCAGACAATCTCTCATAAGTGCCAGGTAGTGAGCAGGGAGGAGTACGAGCGTCTAACCCACAACCCCAAGAACCTCAACAGCTCCTCCTCTGACCTGTTCTACCTGGCCGGGACTTATGACCCCACCTCTGGTCAGATCATCACTGCTGAAGGAGTTCCTATACTGTGCTGAACACTACTACTGACCAACTGGCTGGGATGACAGCTCTTTTCATTTTGATTTTCTGGCATTAGGAAGTCAAAACCAAAGTGACTGAAGTTCGACACTGGAGACTGTTGTGCTTAATATTACCACAACTCCCCTTCACTGGTTAATCTAGATTGTACTTAGCTGACTGATTCATAACTGGACTCCTTTGAAGGTTTATTACAAAATATTTTGGGACCAATATTTAAGGCAAGGAATGATCCGAAGAAAGCATTCCAGGGACCCATGTAAAATAATTTGTAAATACTTTTCCAATCAAGCCATACACGTCAGTACCTCTTGCCTGTCTTAAGTGTTCAGGTCAACATTGTACAGTTGATTAATGGAATTGTCTGTTGTCCATATGTACAGAAAAATGCTATTTTATATATGAGTCTATTGTACATATACGAGATGTAACTTTCCATGTTTGATTTATTTTTCTATTGGTGTAGAATACATCGCGTTTTATGGTTTGCTTTCAGAAGTCAAGTTTGGAGGTGTTGCACTGCATTCGCCCTGCTGAGACAGACAGCACACACAAAGATAGAAGGATTTAGTGTAGAACAGGTCCTAACTCACTTTCAAGGAGAGATGAGTTTTCCTGTTTAAAAAAAACATAAAGTGGCTTTTTATAGATGTTCTGTTACTTATTTTTAAAACGCTTTTAATTTTATTTATGTGTTTTTCTTTTGTCATTGTTGTAAAAGCAGATCCCAATGGACTGCGATCACGGGTCAAAAATGATTTAATAATGAATTAAAAAGAGTATCATTTTGTGTGACATAAGCCTCCTGGCATCACTATGATCATGTCAAATCAACTGGGTCCTTTTTGAAATGAAATTGTATTGAATGCATTCTTCAGCACATTGTGATCTAAAAATACCAAAGTGTCTTTTCTGTTATAAATGTCTTTATTCTAAGTTATTTAAATGAACAAAAGTCAAAAACCAGTTTTAAATCAAATCAAATCTGAATAATGAATGCTAACCTATATAGAGTATTGTTTTTCCTCATTCATTGATCAGGCATAACACAATACAGACGCTTTCTAATCAATGTGGCAGTTGGCTGTTGGATGTTTTTTGTTTTAATTTTTTAAAATCAGGGTAAATGGGGCTAAGCCAGAAAAAACAGGGCTACAGAAATTAGTATCTTAAAAATGCAGTTATTGCAGTTGAAGTATTCCTGCTTTAAATTGGTCACAGTTTAATCAAATCCATTTCTTGTCTATATATTAGCTGGATATAGGCAAGTGGTTCTATCCATGGGTTTCAGAGTGATGGAAAAATGCATAGTTTCCATAGTAACAACAATTAACTATTCAAAATACAATATTCTGTTTTTTCAATAGGCAAAAAGGTCCTCAAAATGTCGGCTGTAAACAGAAAGATGAAACCTATGAATAGTGTTTTGCCTGATCAGTGTATATTCATTGTGACCATATAGTTTCTTTCACATGTGCCTCATTTGTGTTGCATACAAAGACCAGATGAAGTGTTGACTATTGAAGGCCATGGTACTGACAGAGGCTTAGTTTCAGTGTCTCTTTGTACAATACACGCACACACAACGCTAACTGTGAAGGACAATCAGATTTACCAGGCAATGGGCAGACTAGCTTCACTCAATCTGAATACAACCTTAATGTATTTCTTCTGTGCCAAGTACTTTTATTGTTTTATTGTTTGATATGCAACCTGGAGTATTCTTTGTTTATAAATGTGGATTTTGTTGGCCAACTTTTTATTATTTATTGTCATTGTTGCTGTTTGTTCATGCCAAGAGCGCTTTATCAGAAGAATGTGACTTTGGTTTTCTTGGTGTGACGTCACATTTGCATTTCTTACATAAAAATGGTCTTTTAGGGACCAGCTAGTGAAAAGAAATAAAACCACACTGGATAATTCTCATCCACAATCTCTGGGTGAATTTTACTGTTGTTGTTTTATTTTACCTTCCATTATTCATTCATTATCATATTAAGTGGTTAGTATATCGAGAGTCATTTTATCCATGTTAATGTCCAGACTAGCAACTGATCAGGTACTTTCATTTGGAAAGTACCTCAAAGTACTGACAGAGAGTGCTCTGACTCATCACATCTTGACTAAACTTGCAATGGCAAATGAGCAATGCAATGATTCAAAATTTAGTAAAGCTGCTTTTAATTTGTAAGATTTTTAATAGCAAAAAATAAATAAATAAAAAAGACATAATTTTATTATAAATCGCTAACAATTAATGAGCTACATACGTATTAACATTTGTATTTATGTTATTTATTTATTTGTACGTACGTATTTATTTATACTTATTTATTTATTTGACCAACAATTAGGTTTCTTAAATGGGTGCAAATTATTAGAAACGGATTGCACCCTCTAGTGGTAATTATATAAACAACACAGTGAGAATTGTTATTATCTCCATTTGTGTACAGTTCTTTTGTCTCACTTTTTAACTGGGGCCACCCATAATGGGCCACCCATAACCGCCAGTCTGTTTGTCTGTTCATGCTCATCAGACATCAGACATTAACCTAATTATTAAAACAACTGTGTGCGCCTGAAGGACGTCCCGATGTGGGTCAGTGACCTTGCACGGTTGGCCCTGGGGTCTCTGTGCCCGCACCCTGCCCCACCCCTGCCGTTCATGCCCAGACTGCAGCTAATGTGCATATCAGTCATCTCCAGCAGAGCTCCGTGCGCACACAAACACCACTGTTTCCACCAGCAGCTCTGTGTTGACTGTGGCCAGCGCCCCGTGTCCGAGCTGGCAATTCCTGCATGACCCACACCCGGGTGAGAGCGGGGGTGAGTGCGGGGGGCAAGGCTGGACTGAGTGGACGTGCTGCACAGGTGACGCTGTTGTTTATGTTTGAGAAAGATCCGCTTCATTACCTCAGCACCCAACAGAGCATGGGTCACAAGGGAGCTAATGAAACACAATTGTAGTAGAGAGAGTTATTTGGATATTTTTGTACCATTTGACTATTCTCTTATTATGGAAGATATTTATGCCAGATGCCCTTCCTGTAACAACTAACCTATGACTGAAGTGCACTATAAAGGTTATGTTTCTTCCCTAGGGCCCAAACAACATATGTGGACCCCAGAAAACATCCAACTGGCTACCTTCTGCATTTCCTTTAAAAGATATGAGAGAAAATATTTGTTTAAGAGAGAAGCAACTTTATAAACATATATTTTACACTAATTGAGTTGCCTGGGATCCAGAATACACACTTACAATACTTTACAATCTGTATAAAAAATACAGATATATCATTCTGCCAGGAAACTGAGATGTATTTATCGGCAAACTACAAACAAAATATTGTGGCTTATGTAAACTGATTCGTACAGTTAATTGCACATCCATCCTAAATAGGCCTATTATAAAAAGGTGCATCTGTACGCATCTTAGAATTTCCACTGTGAAGTCAAGCTAAAGTCTGCACAATACACTAGTGTGGGTTGTGTTACATGTCACTGGACACACTCAGTGGTCTGCTTTTGCTCGCTCAGCATCCTGCCCGTATTGCTCCGTGTCAACACGAAGAATGTTTTCCTGCACAAATATCTACACATCATAAACGTCTGGGCCTGCGCTTGACCCTGTCTGACCTTTGACTGTGGCGAGGTTGAGCGGGGGACAGAGCCGCTGTGAGTGTGTGAGGCTGAGGTGAGCTCTGGGTTCTTAACAAAGCACAGGAGACAAGCACATCATTCAGACTCCTGCTAAAGGCCACTGTAGCCCTGAACATGCACTGTCCTCAAAGCATGTGAGAGATCTAGGCCTTCTTTACAGACACACAATGTGATATTATCCAGTAACATTTCAGAGGTTGGGTGCATGCACTTGACCGCAGCAGTCTCCTCAGGTTTTTCAAGTTTTCATTGACCTGAACAGTGGAATATCTTCATGCTGTTGTTTGTATGCTGATTAAATGTCCTGAAGACTCCAGACATACAAACACATGTGGCTCCCTGTCTGTGCCATGTGCCACTCCTTGTGCCCCGTCTGCAGCCTCATAGCCCTAATCCAGCTCTTTGCTGCTCATTATTAGTGGCTTGTAAAGATTCTGTGTCAGTTATGCTAAAAGAGCTTCCCACAGCATTACACAGGATTACTGTTGCATCTCACTACATATGTCGCACACAAACTGATGCTTTGGGCCTGTGTGACAATGCAGTGACTCATACGCTTCATTTTATTTGTGGCATCTGTGTTTTAAAAAGACAATCAAATACTTCAGATGCATGAGGGGTTATCTTCAATCCAATGGGGATCTCCCCAATTTAAACATATACTTATGAAGATAAGGAATCACTATACTGTACATTTACTACAGTCCAACTAAGACCTGCATCTCCACTCCAGTGTGAGTATGATCATGATGGATTTTATGCTAACCGTACTCTGTGAAGTGAAAAGACAAAAGAGACTAAATATTTACATGCTCTATCATCACTACATTTTAGAATATAATGCACTTGTTCTGGGAGTTGAACATGAACATGAGCTGTGCATAGCACAGCTTGTCGTCCTGTCTTCTCCCTGCTTGTTGTGTTGTGCACATTCCTGTGTGGACAGGACCTCACTTGGTTCTCAGGGGTGTTTACCTCGGCCTCAGTAGCGAGGAGCAGCTTTCCCCATCCCAGCTCTGTTTACATTGCTCTTCTCCTCTGTTTACTCTGCGCTCCAGCTCCGCGGTGCAGCGCGCAGCAAACAGCTGTTCCATTATGAGAGAACAGTGGTGTTAACACAGAGCTCAGAGCTGCCACAGCACTGAGAGACAGGCCTGCACCGTGACAAGGGCCACTGTTCTGTCTTCAGGCTGATCAGGGGTAGGTATGCTATTTGTCTGTGCTACTGTCAATATGGACCTTGATTCATCATATACTAGTATACTGCTGTGTATAGCAGAACTCTTCCTTTACAGCTACATGTCAGGCTCACACTTTATCATGCATAAAGCATTGTTTTTATCCTCTGTCTTCTTCCTGTCGCTGTGCACAGCTGCTGCTGAGTCAGGAGGCAGGAAACCTGGAGAAAGGCCACCAGACCTCTCCGAGTTCCCAGTGGAACTGCTGCCCTGTGGCGAGAGAGACAGGACACTCCATTTATCACTATACAATAGTCCCAGCTGTGGTCACTGCAGAATGCACCGTACTTCCCCAAAAGGCTAAACTTGACCTGGCATTTGTTTGTCTAAACCGCAAAATTATGACGACTCAACTTTCCTGATGGATAGGTACATTTTACTACACTTTACTTCATGTTTTCTAGTAGTTTAGTCAAGCACATGAGCTTTACTTTTAATGTAGTTTTATTTTAGACTAATTACTGCAGTAGTACTCAGATAAGCAGTGTCTTCAGCTACAGAATAAAACACGCCTTAAATAGTGGAGACAGTCAGTTGTGCTCAGTGGTGAATGTGTGTGAAATAACGCGATAGTCTTGATATATAAGCAGTGTTCCTGTCAGGCCTGGAGCATCCATGTCCTTCAGTGCATGGCTCTTCTTCTCATTTCTGCCATGCTTAAAAATACACTCTCTGCTCAGATACCACAGTCATAAGCTCCATAACTGGCACTTATCAACATGAGTTGAAGCCTCTAGGCATCTCAGCCCAGCTTTGATCAGACGTTTTGGAGACATCTCTCATTTTCTTCAAACAAATCCATTGGGATTGGTTGTGCTAATTTTGAAATAAACTCAAAGCACAGAGTGTACCTTGTGATGAAGAGTGGTGAACAATAGCTATATATGGCCCGTTTAATGGAGAGATAAGAGAGAGGGGGACTGAGAAGTGACTGAAAGACATGAGTGAGGTGAAGTCAAGGGGAAAAGATAGTGAGAAAAGTGAACAGTATGAACCACACTATGAGATCATCTGACAAACATGCTGGTGACCTCAGAGGTAAATCCGTACCTTTCGCTCAAATACAGTGGCGCTGCTTATGTACAGACACCCAATTTCACCTGGTATTTTGTGTGGAGTTTGGGACCGCCACTGTCAGCAGGAGACAAACTGGAGGCAGTGAGTGACAGCAGCAGATAGAAAGCCAGGCCAGGGTCCTGCTGCTGAGCTGTGGGGGAGAAAGAGAAACCAAGAAAGATGTAGACAAGAAAGAAAATGAAACCTAAATGGACCAATTCAGCTGTCTGCGCCACACAGAGACCTCACCTGAGACTGCTCTGCACTGCTTGTGTCTCCATGGAGACGGGCCTTCTGACTGAGTGCTTCTGAAAAAACTGACACAGGTCCACCAGCTTCTACTGCCATTGATTTACACACAAACTCCTTCTATGGCCAGGCCTGTTCATGGGTCCCTACAAACTCCTGCAATCTGTAAAACGCCAGTGACTTAGTCTAACATCAAACACTTTATCAGGGGATTGCAGCCTATTGATCGACATTCTCTAGTGCAACTGGCATATATGCAAAAAATCTTTTTAAGACTTCAACCAAATGGTCTAATCTTGATAGCAACTTACAGCCTGGCATCTTGAGATATTAAAGTAGCCTTTCTACAGTGATATGTGCCCATGAATTGCCTTTCTGCCTAGTTTCAAACCCTTAGGCTGTAGTCCTCAATTAGAAAGCTGTTCTCTCATAGCTCCCATGTACTCAACCTATAGGATCATAACCTAGGCTCCAGATCAGAGGCAGGTGATGGCTTGTTTTAAAGTCTACTGGTCAGTGTCGGCTTACAAGCTCAGGTCTGTATGCCCGCACATTAGGCAAGTTTTAATAGGCCATCTGAGCAGCTGTTGGCGACACTCTGTTGATTTACTATAGAGAGAGAAGACTTAATGACTACAGGCAGACAGCTCTTAACCCTTTGAAGTCTTCTATGATGTAATAAGATCAGGTATAAATTCCCCTTTAGTCCCTATATTGTA